CGCGGCAGGCGCATGCCAGGGCCTCGCGAACAACGACCTCTCATAAACTGTCATAAACCACTCGAGCATGAGGGAGCGGAAAGAGCTGATCTTTATTCGATAGGACTGCGAGGGCCCCTTGCAGGCACAACTCCACGCGCCCCCCCAGGCGGCCACCACGCTCCCGCAACACGCAAGGTTCGGGAACACAGCTCGTCAGGGGGGCCTCCCCGCTGCTCAGCATCGGTGGCGAGCGGGCGCATGGGGGGCCCGGAACGCGCGAGCACGCCAACGATCTCGAACGTTGCGCATTCGGGATTGGCGCGAGCCAGCGCAGAGCGCGCCTCAGCTCCCGCAGCCTCGCAGAGGGGCCCGTCACGCGGGGCGGCGTTGCACTTGGCGACCTTCGGCTTGCTTGGCCAGCCTCGGCAGGGCGCTGGAACCGCGCTTCCCCCAAACCGCAAATCCTACATCATCTGCGCGCGCGCGAGTGCATCCTCTTTTGTTGCCACCCAGATAGGCTGAGAAGTCGCGGGGGAAGGGGGCAATGGCAATTGCGAAGCGCGCGGCTGACAATCGGCAGCGTTGGGGCACCCCCGAGAAACCCAAATATATGAAGACCAGCGAACTTCCACCATCAAAAGAGCAAGGCTTAAACACATAGCAGACACGCGCCGCTCGGCTGCACCTCTGCGGGGGCCCAATCAAATTTCTTGGCGTATTCTAGCAGCCGCGCTTGGCGGAATGAACAAGGATCTTCTGCAAAATCAAACGACGGCAAGGCCGACGGAGCTGCGCCCGCGCCCAGCTCCACCCCCTCCCCGACCCCAACCGCAGACCCCGCCCATCACCGTCGTCTCGGCGCGGGCTGGGCTGTCCAACCGACTGAGGCTATCGACGAGAGACGGCATCGACACTCGACAATCACGAAGCCGTATCAAAGTCAACAATGCAACTGACAAAGTTACGACCAGGGGTCCACCCTCTCTGACACGGACAAGCAATGCCTTAGACGGCGGGGGCGAAGGCACGATTGATGCCCCCTTCCGATCAGGCTGTTGGCAATACTATCGAGGCCGAGCGGGCGCGAGTTGCCCGCGGCTCTCGAAGGGGCCGCGAGGCTCTCCATCTACAGACGTAGACAAGAAAAAACAGCAGTCGAAGCCGAGAACCACGACGGCATCGGGAGACCGCTATGGACCCAGCGCACGCAGTCGCATAGAATCTCGACAACTCCCCCATGCGTCCAGGCCCGAGGAGCGGAGCCCACCTGGCCCGGCAACGCGATCCAACGCCCGCTCGAGACACCCCCGCGGGGGCGGAAAGGCGCCCGAAAAGTCGCCCGTGGAAGAGGAGAGCGGGAAGCGCCGGCCTCGCGGGGGGGGCGACTCCTCGAACGCCGGCTGCCGGCGCTGGAATAAAGCTTGCAGAGCGCCTGCTGGGCCCCACCGAGCCCCTCGAGAATCGCCGGATCCCACCGGCCCCCGGGGCGTCGCGCGCAAGAAACTGCCTTCTCCGCCCGAACAGGCGCCGGAGCGGAGCGCGTCTGCCCGCCGCCGCCCTCCGCCCGCCCGAGAGCTCGCCGGCGCCGCCCAGGAAGCGCGGCGCCCGCGGCCCCCCGCCCCGGGCGCCCCCTCCCTCGGCGGGCCCCCCGCCCTGCAGACTCGCACGCGGCGTCGGAAACCCATCGGGGCCAGGGGGCGCCGGGCGCCGCCCGCTCGCCCGTGGCCCCGCCCTGCAGACTACCTTCGACATGGGCCGACTCTCGGGCCCAAGGGCGCCCCGCGTCGCGCGCGCCGCGGCGGCGCCCCGCCGAGCCGCCGCGCGAGCAGCCGAGCGCGCCAGCGACGCCCTTGGCTCGAGACGACGCGGCCGCCGGCCCAGTCGCAAATCGCGCGTCGCCCCCCCGCCAACTGACAGCGGAGGACTGCGAGGCGGAGGCTCCCAGGAGGCTCGCGCGCTTCAAAATCAATGAGATCCCCATGAGCTCTGGCCAGCTGCCCATAAAGCGGGCCAGAGTGCACGCGGGCGGGGAGAGGGCGAAGGCAATCCGAACGAGAAGGCGGTTGATCGGCGAAGGAGATCGAGACGGGGCAACGGCCGCCGATGCCTTTGAGGCGCAGCTCCTCCGGCTCGCGGCGCGCAGAAACCGCTCGCCACCCCTGGCGGGAGGGGCCAGGGCGGCGCGCCTGATAATGCGCGGTGAACATCTGCAACTGGGCTGGCCCACGGGCTCCAGCCAGTGGGCGCCTCGCTCGGGATCTCCGCGAGTTGGCCCGCGAGCACCTTTTGACCCGAACCCCTGGAGCGACCTCCCCCACGGGCACCTACGCGCGATTCGCTTGGGCGGTGCTTTTCCCTGGCAGAATCTTAAATCATTGAGCCACCCTGCACTGGGGGGCCAAACCTACACGGGGCGCCCTTGACCGAATTTATCCCGCGTCTGATACGCTCGCAGAAGCTCGGATCGCGCCGCTACTTAGCCCGGAAATTGCGCGCGCGCGCTCCAATGCCAGAAAACCATCAAATCGAGCGAGGGTACGATCTGGGTCGCCAAGACCCCCCCTATCGGACCTCGGGCCAGTCCTCAAACACATCGGCGCTCACCCCATCGGGGAATCCAGGGGCGGCAGGGGGCGCGAGCGTCGCGACGGCGCCTGCCGACGGCCCCTCAACGTGAAATGCAAAAGCCTGCTGGCGGAGACCCGCCGCCTTCGCGACCTCCTGGACAGCCGCGCGCTTGCCGCGCGCCCCCTGTGAAACCAAGGTCGCCGAGGAGCCGGAGGCGCCTCGCTCTGCGCCAAGCTCGCTCAGAAGATGGGCCCTCATCGCCAGCCCGTCCGCGTCGCAGAGAGCCCTGCAGTTCCACTGCATGAAGACCATGGCCCATATGCCCATCGCGATGTTACCCTGACCACCGCCCCGCCGCCGTCGAGGAGCACCTTTGGGCGACCGCGACGGGCCGCGCCACGACTGGGTAAACGACTACTCTCGCCACCAGCTGCCAACCTGGCAGCAGCGTGCCCAAGTCTACGCCCATTGGCAACTGTCGGCCAAGGTGAGTTGGCAGCGCGCGGCCCAATTTCTAACGCGTCCACTCCTCTCGATCTCCCTGTCCCCTGGGGCCAGGGCGTGGAAGCGACGCCACTGGCCGGGTCCAAGTCTAAGCGCCCCGTGCGATTGACGAGCACGCGCCTTCAAATCGAAGTACAACTCAGCTTTAAGCGCAAGGTGACACTCGGCCAACAGTTCACCCTCCAGTTCGCACTGCTTACCCATCTCGAAGCTTGCCGCCTTTCGCCAACTCGCCAGAGCGCCGCTGACGGCGCTCTCGCGGATGGACTCGGCCGCGTTGATGACCATCGTGCATTTGTCGTGGGGCCTCTCCGAATCCGCAACGCGCTGAACTGGGATGGGCGGCGCCGCCGTCGCGAGGCCGAAGAAGCGTTCAACACGTTCCAGTCCCGCCGCCATGCTCTGCTTCTCCATATCTAAGGACCCCATCCTCCGCTCACCATCCACCACCCTCGCCACGACAGCGTCGAACTGTCGACGAACGGACTCGTCCATCCGCTCGAACAGCGGGCCAAACGCTGGACCCTACCTGCCACGTTTTTCTCACTCCCAGCTGTGCAGTGGGCCCGCACCTCACCGAATTATTTGGCATGTACATATCGAACAATCTCAACCACCTGCGCCCGTGTCCACGGATCACCCACTGCCGCACCGCTTTGGCAGATCTGTCGCGACGGCGCATCCATCTCGAATGTGTCAGTCGCCATTTGGGGGCCTTCGACCAAAGGATCGCCTCTTCCACGCCACCTGCCCGCCATGTGGTGACGACCTCGCGGGGGGAGCGGCCAGAACATGGGCTGCACGCTCTGCCTCTCAGGGGACGGGAAGGCGGCAGCTGCCTCGAGAGCATCTCCCAGGGCAGCAGGATCTTCTTTCTTTCCCAACTGCCGGGCGGCTCCTCTAGAACCCTTCGATCGCTCCTCGTCGCTGCCTGTTCCAGCGGTCGACGCATCGACGGCACGTTCTCCTTCACTCCTCTCACGATTGCGCTCCTCACGCGTCCCATCCCGAGCACCACGAGCACGAGCAAGCATCCTCGGAATAGGCGAAGCAGGCGGGGTTGAGCAGTAAGCCCTTTCATCTGAGAGCTCCGTCTCCACCCTTCTCGATCGTCTGCTCGGGGTATCCGTTTTGGGCGACTCTTGGAGTTTCTGCCCCTCGGTTAGCTCGAATCTAGGGACCTCTGGCTCGCCCTCGCCCTGGGCGCCAGTGCCACCCCACGACCCCGAGATGGCCCCAAGGTGTCCCCCCTGAGACGAAACCTGTCCCCTGAGATGGCCCCAAGATGTCAAAATGTCCCTCTCGCACTCCTTCCCAGGCATGGCTGGGCGCTGCTCCGCCGCAGAGGTAAGAAACGTCTCTGCTCATCCGCAACGGGCACCGCCAGGAAGGCACGGAGAGCCTGCGACCCGCCCCACCGAGGAGACTCGCCACAGGGATTGTGCCGAACAGGTCAGGTGGTGAACATCCGAACGCTTAGCTGCCCCGATACGTACACGCGGCACGTAGCGTATTGATACGGAGCTCAACACGTGGACTGAAAACGTAGGCCCGACGCGACACGTTCGCCAAAACGTGGGCCAATACGTGGAGTCAACACGCAACGTATTGACACGGACGTCTTGAACACGGCACGTGCTGCGTATCAAAACGGGCGTATCAAGGCAGCTAAGTCAGAACATTTGCCCAAAGAGTTGCAGAGTGCAAGCAGTTCTTCGGCCATAGCTCGAGTAGCAGACCGATCTCAGGCGTCCCGATCCTTGAAACTAGATCTGCAGCTGCTGCTGAAGCTCTCCGTGTACACAAAACCTCTGCAGCTGCACCACATCTCGAAATCGAGCCGAAAAGCCGAGCATATGCCAAACAAAGTTCGAGCCTCGTAACAGAGGTGCCCACCCTCTTCCCCCAGGAGAGTTGGGCATCTTGCGCCAGAATGGCGACGGGACGAGGAAAGGGAGGAGGATGAAGAGGGTCGGGAGGAGCGCAGCGGAGCGGCGCCGATGTCGCCCAGATGGCGCCCCGTGCAGGGAGCGGTGGCTGCGAGTGCACGTGGATTGCACCTGCCTCCACAGCTCGTCATCGCAGCCACAGGGGGTCAGGAAGAGGATGACGAAGGGCACCCTCACTCGCACCCGCAGAGCACGCCGATGCCTCGCGTGAAGTCGAACAGTCTCCAGCCACCCACCTCCTCGCGCCATGGCGGTCGGGGCCCAAATAAAAAATGCTAGCCCACGTGGACCCCAAACAGTGTGTTTATAGTCATGTGTGTCGTGCGACCTTCTCTGAGGAAAACTAGGTGGTGCAATCTGCATGGTGCAATCTATGTTGTGCAACGTCTGGTGTGCAATCTTGGTGGAGCCATCCATGCTGTGCAATCTACGTGGTGCAACCAACGTGATGCAAAACACATGGTGCAGTCCATGTTGTGCAGTCTATGTTGTGCAATCTTGGTGGAGCCATCTATGTTGTGCAATCCAGGTGGTGAAATATAAGTGGTGTAATCTATGTTGGGCAACAGATGTTGTACAATAGATGTAGTGCAGTATCTGTTGTGCAATCTTCAGCGGCGGCGAGACGGCGACGGGGCGGCGACGGCGAGCACGGAGCCGCCAGACCGCCAACCAGGCCCAGACGACGGGCGACGAGGAGGCGGCGACGGGGCGGCGACGGCGAGCACGGAGCCGCCAGACCGCCAGCCAGGCTTGCTTCCCGAGAAAAGAAGCGGGACCCCCCTATGTGCAGGCACTGCTGGGGCAACGCGGCAGCACGTACGAGTGGGTGGGACGAGGAGGCGCGGCGGCTTTCCGAGGAGGCGTGCGGGGGGCTGGCCAACGGGGATCTGTGAAGGGGCCCCGGGAACACAAATAAATACACACAAACAAACAGACTCCAGATATTTTCCCACACTTTATGGGTTTTCGTCTTCCCCCCCCCTCACTTTTACCATATTTTCCCATATTTTCCTGGGACTCGACGATTCATTGTGCCTCCGTGTTTTCTCCTCCTGGATCTGGAGGCGTCCGCGCAGGCTCCGTCAGAAAGCAGCAAGACTTCTGCGAGCCCTCTGCGCGCGCCGCCGAGCGACCCCGGCCCCACCCCCAGCAGAGGCACGTCCAGGCACGCAGTCGATGTGTTGCAGTGCGCAGTCCTCGTGCTACCACATCGATCGACAAACGAAGGATGAAGGGGCCGTCCTGGCCACCTCGAGCCTCGGCCACGACTGGGCTCACCCCACCTGGATCCCACGACCAGCCGGAAAACCAGACTTTCAACGTCCTGACTGTACTGATTCCCCCCTGCTCCTCCTACCGTGGGATCGCATCGTCCGCATCCGCTCACAATCCAATCCTCCCTCCTCCTCCCCTCCCCTCCGCGCGCGCCGAGGAGGATCGTCATCCCTCCGCCTCCTCCTCCGTTCTCCTCCCTCCTTGTCTCCTCCGTGCTCGCCCGAGCCTGCAGTCCACAAAAACTCGTCCTCCCACCCCTCCTGGAGGGGGCGGGCCGATAACGTCCTCTCGCCGCGAGCGGCCCAACTCGAGCAGCCCACGGGGCAGGTCGCCGTACCCGGTGTGGCCATCTGGCGAGCCAGACCGCGCCTCGTAGCCGAGGTGGTTGGCCTCCTCGGGTCCCCCTCGATCCTCCTCGAAGATTGCCGGAGCTGGCCTGAAATTGTAACCCGAGGGCTGCGGGGTCTTTTTCCATCAGGTGCGCCTAGGCGACACTCGTCAGTGGCCGTTCGGATCGTCCCGCACTTCCGCCGGAGGCCCGAGTGATGGCCCGAAAACCGATCGGGTAGGCAAGCTCATCGGCCCCTTCCTCGAAGTGCTCCTCCTCTCTCTCCATCCTTCTCCTCCTCCACCTCCTCCATACTCCTCTTTCTCCCTCTTTTCATCGTTCCGCCTTCCTTCTCCTCCGTCTCCATCCCCCTGCCATATAGATAACTCCCCCCAAGGCGTGCCCGTAGGCCTGGCCAAACGTAGGCCAGAAAACAGAACTGCAGGGATAAAAGAACCCAGAAAGGAAGGAATCCACAACTGACGACAGTTACAGGATATAGACGGCCCGATCGGATTACTAACATGATCGGGCGGCCCCATAGGGAGGGGCTCCCGAACGAGACTTCATCACGATTCGCTCACCGAGGAGGCTCCCGCGAGCCTTCTTCAAGCTGAATGTGTCAGTGTGTGAGGGCGAATGTACATGTTAATGAGTGCGTGCGTGCGTGTGATATGCTGATGACGACGGTGATAATGATGATGATTATGACGTTGTTGCTGATAATGTAATAATCAAGACGCTTCCGAATCTGATGATGATGATCCTGATCATGACAATGCGGATGATGAGGATGATGATGACCATGGTTGTGGTAGTGGTGATGGTATGAGTGCGTATGAGGGTGGGCGCGTGTGCAATGACGATGACGGTGATGATGATGATGATGATGATGATGATGATAATGATGATGATGATGATGATGATGATGATGATGATGATGATGATGATGATCGTGTGGTAGTGGCTGATCGATGGTAACGAATGTGAGTGCGATGATGACGATGGTGATGGTGACGATGGTGATGATGATATGATGTGATGTTGATGATGGTGGTGCGACGGCGACCAGGACCAGACAGGGTGTGGGGTGAGGTCTGCGCGGGGTGCCCAACGAAAACAAAACCTCATTTAGGATGCGGGGGGCAATGCGGCGCAGAAGGCCCGCGCACGCGGCAAAACCGAGGCCACCAAGTCAGCAAGCAAGCAGACAAAGGGGCCCAGCACACTGACCCTTCCAAAGGAAAACAAGAATCAACAGACGGCAGGCAAACCCCTTGCGACATGAAGCCCTGGTCGCCTCCTTGATGAAATTGCGCCCGCGACAAGAACGGGGGCCCAAACAGTGCCGAAGGGGGGCGGCGGACCAGGCGCGCAAAAACGAGCTGAACCAGAGCCTGTGGGAGATCCTTATGGGGCAGCGAACCGTGTGAGTGCTTTGCCGAAGTGGTATGGAATTTGTGCGTCTGTGTGTTAGTGTGTGTATGTGTGTGTGCGCGTATGTGTACGTGTGTGTGCGTCTGTGTGCGTGCGTGTGTTTTGGGGAGAATGCCAGGCGGAGTCTGCCGCAAAGGCCGCAAGGGGAAGCCCCTATTTTTTTAGCCAGCACGGGCTGGAACATAATTTCCCCAGCTTTGTCTGGATGGCTGCCTTGCTACATCAGTCGCTGCTGCAGCAGGAAGGCGATCGCACCGCGACTCCGGGTGCACCTGGATCGCCGAGGTCTCTACTGCACTGCGCGCGCCCGCTGTCAAGACGCACGCGCAGCCCGGGAACCCCCGCTGGTGGCCAACTCCGCACGTATCCCTGCAAGGAAGCAGTGCATGAAAAACAAGAGGGTCTACCAGCACAGGCCGGAGCATAATCTAGTCAACTTTGCCTGGATGGCTGTCTTGCTACATCAGTGTCTGTTGCAGCAGGGAGGCGATCGCAGTGCACTGCGCGCGCCTGCTGTCAAGACGCACGCACGCCCCAGGAATCTACGCTGGTGGCAAGCTCAGCACGCGTCATTTTGTCGGGAACCAGTATAAGAAAAATTCGAGGGTCTACTGGCACAGGCCGGAACATAAGTTACCCAACTTTGTCTTGCGCAGTCACGCGGCCTCCACCACATCAAATAAGCGCTGCAATTGCACAGTCAAGGACCCTGGTTCCAAGCTGCCTAGACGGCGGGGCGGCGGCGACAGTGGGCTCGAATTCTTCCTTTGAGCAACTGCGGGAGGCTGACGCGGGGACCCTTTTATAATAACATAGCGGGTCACATAAACAGACATCGCATAAACTAGCAAGACGAATATCGGTTTCTTCGCTGAGGCGAGGTTTGAGAAAAAGAATGTTGGACAACCAATCGTGGCCATGCCCAGAAATGCCCCGCAATGTCTAAGGATCCATGACCTCCCTCATCCGCGGACAGAAGGCGTAGTGTCGTGGGTTATCCGTGTCAGCACAGCCTTGACAACCGAAAGCGCAGTGCCTGGCAACGGACCTAAAACGGGAGGTCGCGCAAAGGCCACGGCAGGCAATCCGAATCACAGCGACAGCAGGGTACTGGCTGACTCTTTTTCCGAAGTACCTGGAGCCTCCACAACATTTTAGGGAACTTGTCAGGGTCAACCATAGGGAGCTATTTCATGAGACGCGGGCTGGGCACCTCAATCACCGAACGCCCAGGCCTCGGGTGCCAACGCTGAAAATGGTCACACAATTTACGTTGAACCGCCTTCCGAACAACCGTGGGCGGGAGCTTCAGCATAACAGGAAGTAGCGGGCCGCTTGCCTCTGATATCCAAACGAATGTTTCCACCGCCCACGGTGTCGGCGCACAAGGATGCATTTATCTGAAGCTAGAAATGCACGAACTCCCCCGAACTCAACGCGAAGTTCCGCGCAGTGCGCAGCGCAACGGGGACGAGCGGCAAGACTGGCATGACGCAGGTGATGCAACTCTACCCCTCCGCCGCACATCGTGAAATCCTCCAGCAACTCCTTCGGGATCGCATTCCACGGCCCCTGCGTCGGCATCTGAGCACTGCGATAGTATGCAGCGCGCAAGGCTGGTGACGGGGGTAGAACCGCAGCACGTGCTGGAGCAGAGACGGGCGCAGAACGTGGAAGGCCCGTCTACCGGCAGTCAGTCACAGGCTGGCCTTCTCTACATCCAGGGTGAGATCAGCGGCCGGGGGGCGATTTCATCGCGGGCATGGGCCTCGCCAGCGGGGGGCCCGATCATAACCGCCGGGTACTTCGCGAACCGAGCAGTTACTAAATCGCGGAAGGCAGGCCCAGCAGAGTGAACTAAATCCTCAGTCGTCGTCGCCGAGGCGCCGCCAACAGTCAACAGCGCGCACTTTTCAAGTTCAGTTCGAGCCCGGCTGGGCCTTCCAGGGCAGTCAGTAACTCCTGGGTCGGCCCCGGGGCCAGGGGCGCATTCGGCAGGGCAAAAACCAGGTCGTCACAGTGCGCAAGTAAACGATCCATATGCTGGCTGCCTGGGTGGAGCAACCACTTCAGAATCGGGTCTGTGACCAGTCCGAAGAGCCGAATGCTTGCTGGATCCCTCTATCACATTCCTCGCCCAACACCAATAGTGAGATCCAATATCCTCTCCCCAAACATGGCAGACGCCTTATTGCCCGAGTAGATGGCAGCAGAAAAGGCGCGCGCCGCACCGCGCGCGCCCATGCGCGCCAGCACCGCAAGAAACCACGCGATGTGAAACTATGGGAAGGCCTGTGCAAAATCTGTGAGCAGCTGAAGACTGCGTGGCGCGCCATCAAGATGCCGTTGAACCCCCCATGCATCTGCGATCACGATGTTCGAAATGGTCTGACGCCCGGCAACCCCGCCCCACTGGCCCCATGAGCCGTCGAAGCAGCAAGGGCATTGAGCGGGGCGCCAACGGCCAGGGACATTATCAGGGCAAGCGGCCGAGTCGCATCGGGGCTCCACGTCGCACCCTGCGCCGCATCATGAGGGCTCGTGCCCTCCGGCGAGAAGGATGACCACATCGCGCGCATTTCATCAGGCAGCGTCGCGCTGTCGTTATCGCATAGCTCCTCGTGCATGCCGCGTGCTGATTCACGCCCGCCCCCCACCTGCCAGGCTGCATAAGGTGAGCCGTCCTTCCCAGGGGCAATGCTACGCCTCCACTTCACGCGGTCTTCAAAGTGATTGAACTCGAGTTTCCACTCGGGCCGTCGCTGCGGGTCGACGCCCTCGACTCAGCTACAGGTGCGCAACGGCCCAGGCCGCGGCGCGCGACCCCCGTGAGTTGTCTGGAGAAAAACTCCACCCCAGCGAGTGGCAAGGCGGCGCCCACCCGCTTCGGCGCTAGCGCAAACCGCTCCGTAAGAAGCACGGATGCAATTCAAGGGCGCCCGTCGTCGGAACTGCTGCAGGACGAGTTCGCAGCGCCGACACTTGTTTTTAACGCGGTCCTTCTCCTCCTCCGATGTGCTGCTATCCCCAGGCTGCCACCCCTCCGCCTCTCCCCACTGGTGCTCAATGTGCTCAACTTTCAACCGACATGCGCGCGCACTTCACGCGGCAAAACGGGTGCAAGACGTGGCTTCTTCATCAGAATCCCCCTCCAGATCGGCGCGCGCTGCAAACGCGCGCGCAACTGAACTCGTCGCGCCGTGCACCCCCAATCGCGCGCATCGCCCAGTGATGCTTTTCCACGGGGGCCCAGACAGGCCCGGACCGAATGGTTCTCCGATTCCCAGGAACAGCTGCCCAAATGCGCCCCGTGGCTCGTTGTGCTTGCTGCGCAGCTGCCAACGGTGGCACTTCGTGAATAACGCGGCCAACGCGCGCGTGGAACCCGGGCGACAGGCGCAGCGACGCAGCCGCGCTGGTATACTACGCTGTTTTTTGGCATGCAACTTGTCAGTTGCGAGCGGCCCGCGGTCAGACGGGCATCTCTCCCGGGGCCCATGCAGCGTCGCAGTGACAGTGTAGTCCGCCAAAAGAGCGCTCGGGCTATCGCTATAGATTCTATCCAATCGTACTGCGCGCCGCTGCGCCGCTCCAGCATTCCGCCCAAGGCGCGTCGGCCCATGCGGTG